AATAATAATTTGTTGGGCAGCCAAAGGCAGAAGGAAAAGAATAGAACATACCAAAGATTTAGCCTTACCCTTTCAAGATGATTTCTTCTAATTCACATTGTATCTGGGTACCTTAAACTCTATTCTACATCTTATACTGAATCTATTTTTGTTTAATAAGTAACTTCCCTGCTCCTAGACTAAATTGAGAAGAAAATGGCAGAGTGTGTCCCAGGTTGATTATAGAGCGTTGATTATAGAGCAAGTGTACATCTACCCCTCTTTAGTTTGCGTCTCTGTGTGGCAGCTTTGTATTTCTTATCGTAATGCAAAAGAATATCAGGATTTAACCTAGTTGTGTTACATACTCAGATGGGCTTCCAGAGGTTTAGTTTTTATCTCCAAAAGCAAACAGACCCCTTAATTTTATTCTGTTCTAGAAAGCACATGACAAGGTACTTAGGTGACATTAATCATATTTATAAGTCCATCTAGTTTTAATTAACAGTAGGAAGGAAAATAAATACATGTCAAAAGAAGTGAATACTTCTTTGGCAAAATAAATATAGGGGTGACTATATCTTCACTGGACACATTCCTGAAATACACCAGACATTCTGGATGGGAAGTCAGAGGTACAGGGCAGTATTTCTTAAATTTTTTGAGAACATAGAATACTAAACAGTATTTTTGTATTTTGAATGCCTATGATGATTCTTTGTGCTAAAGGAAATAGTTTTTAACAGGACAAATATTCTTTATTGTCAAACCTTAAACAGCGACATACATGGTGGAAATAGAATGAAATAATCAGGTATCATAGTAATCAAGTAGTTACAGTGTTTTGGGGTATAGTAGCCAAAAAACAAACATTTTGTTTTCGTAAATGTTTGTGGAACTCCTGTGAATTATTCAAGGTATCTAGTTTAAGATATTTTTACATAGTGGTAGGCTGCACGAGCTTATCTTTGCTCTTTTTAAGTGCATTTTAATAATACGTAATCTTTAGGTATTCTAAAGCCAGATTTAAAGGGCAGAAAACTTGAGGGCTAGATTCTATCCTAGAAATGTTGATTCGTCTCCTTGCATTGGTGTAAGAAGGAGAAAAGGTGAAAGCTGAAAGTCAGACTGATTCTAAAAGAACCAAGTGAATGCCTTTATTGATGCTTTGCCCTTTGCAGAGCACGTCAGTGAGTGGGTGACATTTGCTTGAGGCTTAGCTCCATTTCTTACTGAAGGGATACTCTGGGTACTGGTGGAACACACACTGATAAATCGAGAAAAGGCTTTAGGTTGAGTGCTGCTGTTCTTAAAATTATTAACAGATCTAGGTTCTTAGAAGGGTAATCTAGTCAATAAATGCTGGTAGAGAGTATATTTCCCTGTAGATTAACTCTTTTCCATCAGTAGCCAAGGCAAATGTTCTCTTCTACAGTACTTTTGGCTGTAGTTTTAGCTTATCAAAGATTCATTTAGTTTGAATTTTCTTTTCTCGTTTTCAATATATTGTTGTGAATTTTTGTTAAATCTGTGTTTTCCTCTTAGTGCTGTTCAGCTTTTCTACTCAGTAAGGAATATCTTCCATTTGTTCCATGATGTTGTACCAACATATCACAAGTAAGTGCCCCTACAATCTTAATTCTCTATTATAACTGTATCTCTAAAATGTTTGTAAGTCAGGTTTAAACCAGTAATTTTATATTCTCGCCAAAGATATTTGGGTTATTGAAATTCACAATATAATGCAGTAAGCTATTTTAAAACACATGTTTAGAGATCATTGGCATTTGCTAATAAATTAATATGGGTACTATGATTTTGGAATACAGTGGGTGAAGGAAATTTAAAAACTCAAAAGAATTTTACCCTGTTTTTGATGCTAGGTATTTTCAGAACTGCCTCATCTGACTTGGTTAAAAACCAAAAAGACTATCAGTCCACATTGCAATCCAGTAAACATACCACATTTTTCTTTGGCATGCACAGCTCTGCAGACTTAATACCATAAGAAATTGCTATTTAACTGGCAAGTATGATCAGCTGCTCTTCCTTACTATCTTAGGTTATATTTTCCTAATGTTTTGGATTTTAAAAGTTTATTTTAATGTAAGTCTGAAAATTTTTTTAATTCAAAGCCTTCAGGAGCTCTTCCTGTCATTCTTATTAAGTGCATTGCTTTTTATAAATATTTTTAATGATATGCAAACAAAGCTATCCCATCGCCAATTACTCTGCTTACAAAGAAGAAAACAGTTTATTATTTGAAGTATATTTTAGCTTAGATTTTTGAACAATTGAGATGTCTTTAACTAGACCACCTGTGGTTATTGTTATAAAAGAGAGCATACTTATTGTGAACCTTATTATTTTTATTTGTATTCTCTTTGCTCTGGTTTAAAGTTCTTATTTCATGTTGTTGTTATGTGCCATTGAGTCGGACCCGACTCATAGCGAGCCCTCCTTGGGTTTCCGAAGCAGTATCACTACGGAAGTAGATTGCCTCGTCCTTCCGAGGAGTGGTTGGTGGGTTTGAACTGTCAGCCTTCTGGTTAGCAGTCAGGCGCCTTAGGCACTATGCCACCAGAGCTCCCTATTTCATGTTTTACTTAGTCAAGTAAAGGAAATGAGAATAACATATTTGGGTCAGCTGACAGCTGTGTCCTTGGGGATTCAGAGATAGTCAGCTCAGGAGCTGCTGTGTCTTGGAAACATTTTTCACACAGGTGTGGAGTTAGATTTACCTCTCTGTCTTTTGTGTGATCTTTGAACTCCATCCTGACCATTGGTTCACAAACTAGTGCACATTAGAATCACTTGGAAGCCTTATTAAACCACAGATTGCCAGACCCATGCTCAAAGTTTCTGATTCAGTAGGTCTGGGTAAGGCCCATATTTTTAACACATTTCTGAGTGACACTGATATTCTTTGTCTGGAGACCCCACTTTGAGAACCACTGTCCTAGATTCTGTTTCTCAGCCTTGGTAATATTTTAGAATCACTTATGGAGCTTTGAAAAATATGTATCTTTGCATAGACTCAAGATTTTAGTGTACAGGTGTGGTAGTTAAGGTTATGTGTCAACTTGGCTCGGCCTGGTTGAGTGGCTGGGCAGCTGGATGTTGTATTCCCCATGATGAGACTGCTAATCAACTCCATGGTGGAATCTACAGCAGCCTTAGGGATGTGATCCACTTCTCGTATATAAGGAGAGGCTTTGGGAATGGTCTCTAGCTTTTTGGCATGCTTGAACCCTCTGTGTAGCTGAGTCTTCATTCAGCAGCCTGCCATGCTGTGCTGATCTTGGGACTTTTAATGAACTTGAATCAATGGCCTGCCATGTGGTTTGGTAATATCAGGACTGTGCCTTTTCACTTGTCGACCTTGGGTTTGTCAACCTCAGCAGCCAGAAGCTGCCTCAGTGGAGAGATGCCTCCAGCTTCAGTGGGCTAGGAGCAAGAGGTAGAGCTAAGCTCAAGGTCGGGGGGCTTTCACCCAGCCCCTAGAGCCTGGCACTTTGAACTCAGACTTCTAGCCTCCAAAATTGTAAAAGAATAAACTCCTGCTTATTCAAGCCATCTCATCTGTGGTGTATTCCTGTCAGAGTGGCACTGGGTAACCAAAACAATAGGTCTGCTATAAGACTCAGGCATTAGTGCTTTTTTTCCAAAACCTCTACATATGATTCTGATGTGTAGCCAGGAAAGAGGACAACTGCCTTAGATTGCTGTTTCCTAACTATATTTTAGCCTGACATTGAATCAGCAAATTAGAAAGTATTAGGTGATTGCCTGCAAGTGGATATAGAACAGAAATATAGAACAAGATCTCTTCCAAAGCTAGGGAGATAGACTAATATGTGTAGAAGAATTAGAGCAGTGGGTTTTAATCTTGGATGTAAATTAAAATCACCTGAGATGGTTTTAAAACCTATCAATGTTCTGACTTCATTCCTAGAGTTTAATTTGTTTGGGGTGAAGCTCAAACGTCTCTAAAAATTCCCCAGATGACTCTAATCTGCAGTCAGCATTGACAACTAGTGAATTAGAAAATAATTAAGTGCTTTATAATATAAGTGAAATAGGAATTTGGAAAAGGGGAGGTAAAGATGTATTTCTACATTTACCAGTGTTAAATTTTAAAGAAATTATTTTATACAGCTATGCTAGGTGTATAGTACAAAGAGATGACCCAGGTAAACATCTTAATTCTTTTTTTGTTTTTGTTTTTTTTTTGTTAATGAGTTAATCTTTGGGATAGTTTTATAGGATAAGGCCATATTCAAGGAGAATAACTACACTGATTGCTGGGAGTGGGAACGATGAGGTTTTTATCTTGTTATGTACATCATTTATATAGTACATAATTAATTGAAACCTAGAAAGACATTAGGAGCTCTGGTGGCATAGTGATTAAAGCATTCAGCTGCTAACCAAAAGATTGGTGGTGTGAACACACCAGCTGCTCCATGGGAAAAAAGGTGATGCAGTCTGCTTCCATAAAGATTTACAGCCCTGTAAACCCTGTGGGGGAGCTCTGGTAGCATAGTGGCTAAGGCACTTGACTGCTAACCAGAAGGCTGGCGGTTCAAACCCACCAGCCACTCCTCGGAAGAAAGGTTGGGCAATCCTACTTCCGTAGTAATACTGCCTCGGAAACCCAAGGAGGGGTCGCTGTGAGTCAGGGCTGACTCGACGGCACATAACAACAACAACAACAAACCCTGTGGGGCAATTCTATTCTGTCCTATAGGGTCTCTGTGAGTTGGAATTGACTTGATAGCAGTGGATTTGGTTTTAATTTCGGTGTAGAAAGACACTAGAGGAGTAGTAACTTCTCATCAATCCCAACTTCAATAACAGGTCATTTCTTTCCTTTCTTTTCCTACCCATCCTCCTGACTTAGGGAGAACCTTCAAAAGCTGCCCCAGTTGGCTGCCATTCATCACAACAACTGTATGTATATTGCTCACCACTTGCTGACCCTTGGGCATCAGTTTACTTTACGGCTTGCTCCCATTCTTTGTGATGGCACTACTACTTTTGTGGATCTTGTACCTGGCTTCAGGAGACTTGGTAACTAATACTTTTAGGAAAGTGTAATCTCTCAGCCTGGTGTCTTTGTAATTTATGAATGAGGAAATTAGAAATCTGATGGTCCTGACCTGTATCGGAAAGTGAGAGGGCATTTAGTTTGCAAGTGTTCGAAGTTACCTAATGTTAATAATGTGAATGCAGCGTTTGTGGAAGCATGACTTTTTCATGTACATTAGAGTTCCAAACTGCATTACTGGTGTGCAGTGGATTCACCAGATCAGAGTTATGTTAGAATTATGTTAGTGGAATAACATATAATACGATTTGTATCGTCACAATTCTGTTAGCATTGTTGGTAAGAACACGCTAACATCAGTGTTCGTTCTTTTGCAAAATCCCAAGACAGTACCTTCCCCTCTGCCCCTAGCTTTAGTTGGGATTATTAAAAATCCAAATAAGTGAAATGTGGGTTAAATCAGTATGTTTACTATAATGATAGCCTAAGGAAAGCAGAACTATATGGTTCACTTAGCTTTTCAATTCCTTACTTTTCCCTTAGGTGGTGCAGATAGATCAGATTAATTAATAATCTGCTTCTGTATAAGTAATTTTTCTTAGCTGACTCTGACTCGGGGATAAAGTTATTTATTGTCCTGAGGGTGGGGTTGGAAGGACTGCCTAATGTAGTAGAAAGAATTTTTTCTACTAACTTAAGGCAGCTGTATGCTGTTACCTAACAACTGTTTTCAAATAGAACAGATATATGGCTTATGTTTGTCTTGTCTCTATCTATCCTCTTCTACTCTGGTTTGCATTATGTAATTGAAACAATTTTTTGAATGCTTTATTCTAACTGTTTTCCATCATAGGGACAGAGTGTTTTTTGGCCCAAATGCGGGCACAGAAGGGAGAACTTCTGGAAAGATTATCAAGTGCTAGAAACTTTTTAAACATGGATGATGAAGAGAATTATTCTGCAGCAAGCAGAGCAATCCGGCAGGTGGGAGGCTGTTGCTAGCTCTGGACTTGGACTCTATCCTTACATGCGCCCCCCTTTTTTTGTTTTCCTTAAAGCAGCAAAGAATTATGTAAAAGGTACTACAGTTGATTTCCCACAACCCCCACTGGAAATCTGGATTCCTTTTATAGTCATGTTTAAGACTCTTTTTTTTCCCTGCCCACCAAGTCAACAGAAGCTGTCTTTCCATTTACCAGTAGTGTGACTAGTTATCCTAGTAAGCTTTATCAAAGCAAGTAATTTGCTCATGAATTTGGGTTTGGGAAATTTGAAATATTAACTTAGATCTTCATGCCCCTCTCTCTCTCTTTTTAAATTATTATGATTTGGGTGAAAGTTTACAAAGCAAATTAATTTTCCGTACAGCAGTTCATACATACTTTGTTTCATGACATCAATTGCAATCCCCATAATGTAATAACTCTCTTCCTACTACCACCCTGTGGTTACCTTTTCCCTGTGTCCTTCTTTCCCATGCATTCCTGCCTTCCGAGCTATCTCCTTGTGCAAATACTGCCCTTCTGATCTCGCATGATTGGTTGTTCTAAGGAGTGTACCTACCTGGTGTAAATGTTCACCTTATAGGTCTGTCTGTTGTTTGGCTGGAAGCCACAGGAGTGAGTTCAGTTCCAGGTCTGAAAGGTGACTAGAGGCCAGAGTCCGAGGGGTCTCACCAGTCTCTATCAGATTCATGACTCCCCTCTCTTAGGTACTTTATCTTCTCACTGCAGTTTTCCTATCCAAAGGATGAGTCTAGTTTTTAGCAAGCAGGGGTATCACTAAGACTAGATATTCAAGAAACATATAATCTTGATCATTTTACTTTAGATCATTCTGCATAACACCTCTTCCCTCAACACACAAAGAAATGATAAATGTAAATCTGCAGTATACACATTACAATAATCTCTTTCCCATGTAAATATCTACCTTCTTCTGACAGGTACTGCACCAACTAAAGAGACTTGGAATTGTATGGCAGGATGTCCTGCCAGTGAATATATATTGCAAGGCCATGGGGACTTTACTTAATACAGCAGTGTCTGAGATCATTGGCAGAATCACTGCCCTAGAGGTAAGGGCTATTGGATGCCTCCCCAGATGCAATTCTTGTCCCAGATTGTTACTTCAGTTAGAAAATGAAGTTAAAGTCTCACTTTTAGTAAAAACAGATGGTAGAAATTGTGCATATTTCATACCTAACTTACCATGTTGTTTTAATTTTTTTTCAGTTTTGTTTTAATTCTATTTTGCTGGAAATGTGGCAGTCTCTACCTTTTAAACTTATGTAAGAAAGTAGCATTGCTTGTCTTGCTTCTCAGCCTAGTATCTTTGTAAATTATGAATGAAGAGGTTGGAAATGGGGCAGTGGTTCTGAGATGTAAAGTATGAAATAATTTAATTTGCATATGAACACAATAATCTAATTTAGTACAGTGAATGCAGCCTTGTGCAGGTACCCCTTTTCTGACACACTGTCGCAGTTGGGATTATGTGTGTGATCCTGTGAGAAAGTCTCCTGGACTCTGTCAGCTGATGCCTTTAAAGCATTTTAAACCCTTATCTGTAATAACATCCCCTGCTTTGCAGCAAACTGTGCCACATTCTATTGCAGAAGTAGACTTTTTAATGCAAGCAAATTAAATTATTGACAATCTATTGGAATATGTTTTGTGTCTTTCTAGCTTTAGGAGTATTACCAGAGAGCTGATGAAATCCAATATCTAGAAAGGTGTGCTAAATTGCTTAGAAAACATACTGCTTTAGATGGCCTACCTGGGTAGGCACCAAAGACTTCCCCTTTCTCTATGGCTAAGCTGGCCCATTTCTCTTCTGCTGTGTTCCAGGACATCTCTACTGAAGATGGTGATAGATTGTGCTCCTTATGCAAAACAGTGATAGATGAAGGACCCCAAGTATTTGCCCCTCTATCTGAAGAAAGCATGAACAAGAAATATCAAGAAGAGGTTCCAGTCTATGTGCCAAAATGGATGCCTTTCAAAGAACTGATGATGATGCTACAAGCCAGCCTGCAAGAAATTGGGGATCGGTATGTGTATAACTCTTCTATAGAGGTGTATATCTCTCCACAGCTACACAGGAGAAGTAGTGCTACTGGTAGCCATACTTTCCTCTGTTTCTTAATATTACACAGGAAAAGATTTCTTATTAAGTAGCAGTAGTTGGGGCTTTTCCATGGTCTACCATAGTGGGGATCTCATTTCCATTTTCTCACATTTGATAACAAACATTTCTCGTTTCATATTATTTTGGTCTTAAATTTGTTTTGGCACACTGTACAAATGATCTGATGTTGTGAGAAGTACAACCTTCTGACCCCTGAATGGAAGTTGTTGGCCACTGTTTTTTTTCAAATTGTGATTTGGGTGAAGATTTACAGAGCAAATTCACTTTCCATACAGCAGTTCACATATACTTTGTCTCATGTTATTGACCACAGTTTACCACAATGCAACAGCTCCCCTCCCACTTCCTCCTCATAGTTATCTCTTCCCAGTGTCCATCCTTCCATACACTCCTGCCCCCTGAGCTGTCTCCTTGTGCATAAGCAGCCCTTCTTACTCCCATGATTGTCCTCTCCAAAGAGTGTATCTACTTGAGGTAAATGTTTAAGTCATATTGTTGGCCACTTTTTAGAATGGCTTTGACATGTTACAGAGAAGTTAGTTGTGTTGTCTGTATGAAGTGTTCACTATCTGCCATAGTTTGATTGACCAGCCGTTTTTCTGGATTAACCCAGAGATTAAGCACTGTTCACCTAGAAAGGGTTCATCTTTTCTTCAGTACAGTGGATGATGTTTTATCTTCACACCATCAGTTTTTCTGTGCTCAGTTTATGCTATAGCATGTCATACTGAGTGTCAGGAGGTCATTGGTACTGCACAAAACAGAATAGATGGTGGTTAGTTACATATCCCTGCATGTTTTCATTATTGTCTTGGTAGATCAGAGCTCAGTTGATATTTGCAAAAACTCAGTTTTATTTTGAGTAAGCCCTTAAGGCCTTCTTCCTTCCCTGTAGCTGCTTGTCTACGTATCTAGCTTGGTTTACTATTTTATTAGACCAATCAGCCTAGATGTCTCTGTTGTTCTTATCAAATAATAGTCCATTTTTAAAACAATGCAAATTAGGTATCTTCCTGAAAAAAAAATCAAAATATTTCTAGACATTGAGTGAAAATTTTTGATGTGATTGTTTATTATCTACAAGTTTTTAGTGGGTGAGAAAAATGTCTTTAGATAATAGGCTCCAGAAGGTTGAAGATAAGAATTTTTCTTTCTGCTGTAAAGGGGTTTTCTTAGCATCCTAAGAATGATACGAAAAACTATAAAACTGCTGTGTCCTCAGCTTCTTTTTTCTGCTTAGGAAGAGCTTTCAGTAAATACAGTAAGTAAATAAAGTAAAATATGTTACTAAAGAAATGACCTCTAGGCATGTATAATTTAAACATTTTAGAATTATACACATGAAAGAGTGTAATTTATATAATATATATACATAATTTAAAGAAAAACTGTAAAATAAATGTCTGTATGCCTGCTACTAGCTCAAGAAAAATATTACCAGTGCCTTTGAAGATCCCTTTGTGCCCTTCTCTCCAGTTTCTGTCCATGAGAGGCAACACTATCTTGAATTTTGTATTATTTATTTCCTTGCTTTTCTTTATAATTTTACCGAATTTATATGTAAATATACTTACAATAATATACATATGTTGCTAAATATAAAGTTTACACTTGCCTGTTTTTTTGTTCTTAACTTTTTATTGTGATTTGGGTGAAAGTTTACAGAGCAAATTGATGTTCCATTCAACAGTTCATACACATTTTGTTTTGTGACATTAATGGCAATCCCCACAGTGTAACAGCACTCTTCCCACTTCCTCCCTCTGTTTCCTGTTTTCATTCATCCTTCTTTCCTGCTCCTTCCTGACTTCTGAGTTTCATCCCTGGACAAATGCTGCCTATGGTCTCCTATGGTTGATTATTCTAAGGAGTGTGTTGCCTCCCTGGTATTATTGTTTACTTCATAAGTCTGTCTGTTGTTTGGTTGAAAGTTGAACCATGGGAACCACACTTGAAGGGTAGTTAAGGGCCATAGTCTTGGGGGTTCCACTAGTCTTTATCAAACCAGTAATCCTACTCTTTTTTGTGATTTTGAGTTTTGTTCTAAACTTGGCTGTTTTTGAACATTCTATAAATGAACTTTTTTTTTTTTAATGACTACCTATCATAATCTGAAAAACAATTAGATATCCATGCTATATATACACAGATGAACAGGAACCTATTAATGAACAATAACAATTATGTTGCTGTTGTTGTTATGTACCATTGAGTCGGCCCTGACTCATAGTGATCCCTCCTTGGG